AAAAGATTTGCCAGAGGGACCACGGACTTTGGATTCCGGCTACCGCCTATCCTGGGAGGAGCAGCCCCAGCCTCAGCCCTCTCCCAATTTGTTGGCTGCCCTTTTGGGTATTGGTATGGTCTCTCAGATTGCATTCAGATTGCATTCATGTTTGTCATATGTCTTGTTTAAAATAGACTCTTATCTAAGTGATCTTATGAACATCGATGTTTTTTACTTTGCTGTCAGCGCGCGTTTTTCTTCGGAATTCACCCCGTCGAAGTCTCCAGATTCTGAGGCCCAGGGCCGCCCTTCCCTTGAAAGCCAGGAGCCTTAGAATTGAGCGCGCAACACGGCTCAGCTTCTGTGCATCGGAGCTAGGGGTTTATAGGGAATTTAGGGGTTTAGAAGCTCTCTGAGCCTCGGAGGCCTCGCAGCCTCCCGCACGGCTGCCGGAGGAGGCCCCAACAGAAAGGGAGTTTCGTTTCACACCGTCTGCTTTGTGAGAAACCTGTGAGCGTCGACTGCACACACAAAGCATGGTTTGAGGGCTCTCAATGCTTGGCGAAGTTGCAATTTGTCTTTCGCAGAAGTTGCGTCCAGGACTTGAGCTTAGCCACGCTGCTTGCCATGCAGCCCCAAACCGTGGACAAGACGTCTGACAAGGCCTGGGCACCTCTCCTGGTCTAAGTCTGATCGATACATCATGAGCAGAACACAGCGGATGTCTCTTCGAGCCTTGAATCGATGGGTCCGACAGTTGAGCGCCATTCTGTCATGCTGCACAATGCTTGTGTTTGCGACAAAGCGGCCTGATCGGAAGGGACCAGCAGGTTATCTCGATCTGCCCCCGGAGGTGCAGCCGCGCTGGGTTGGCTGGACAAGTAGGTGCGCCGTTGTGCTGCAAACGCCAGGTAGCGCCTGTTCTCCGGCAGCAGGCCCGTTGTAGAAAGTAGAAGTCCTGATACAAGACTTCTCATTGCAAAACACGTGGCCCACGGGATTTTGGAACCGCATGCTGCAGGGGGCTTCAAGCACGTAAATGCCGCAGAGATTCCCACCAGAATCTGTGAGAGCGGGGGGGCGTTCTCAGTTAACGACGCGTCGGTAGAGCTGCAAAGCCCAGGGCCGAACAAAGGAATCCAAATTGTGTGTCGCTGTCTGCCTGCAAAGGGCTTACAAGTGGTTGCGCAGTTGTTGAGGCGACCGATGGCAGTAATGCAGACATTGCGAAGCAGCCTTTCCAAGATTGGATCCAGAGATCACATGATCTCCAAGCTTGTCCTGCAGACAGGCAGCACGCACGTTGCCCTGTTCAAACTTAGCGGCAAGTTAAAGCAATGTATTTACACTCCGGCCAAAGACCCCACAGAATGATTCATTACCAAAAACATCATGGAGACATATGGAGACATGTATCGCAGCCGTTGCTTGCAAGCTGACGCTTCTGTCTTCCGAATGCATGGTCCTGCTATGCTGGCTCTGGCCCTTCGGCTGCGGCTATGACGGTGAGATGCATCGGTTGTTCACATTTGCTGACCACAAATCGTCAGGTTCTTTTCTCTCCTCGGACCTTCTAAGTCACAGGTTTCAGCTTGTCGTGATGTGCCTGGAGTGCCACACAGAACCGCCATTCCCAAGATCCCACAAGTTCAGTTCTGAGGTTCTTAAGCGCCTGCGCACGCGGGGCAGCCGAAAACACCGGCGTCCCCTTGAACTTCAAAGTAGGAGAGCTCACCGAGGAGGCACGGCGTTGGGGTGACTGGATGTGACTAAATCAGGAGAGCTGCTCCGAGAGAGGTTCGAGGTACTGTTTATTAAGCACCAGGTACGTGGCCAAATAACGACAATTTCTCCCCGAAAGTTGCACTATGTGAAAGGAGGTCGCTCAAGCATGTGGTTCATCTAGTTCACGCGTATACGCGTATCATTATGGGCTTTAGGCACGCTGGCAACGCGGTAGACCAGATGTTTTCAATCTCCATTTGGACCTTTCCAGAGAAGGAGTCGAAATCTGATGCGTGCTTCAGCAGCACTCAGTTTGCTGGGAAGACTCGCAATTCAGACGACTGCTTTTCTTCCGCAGTGCAGGGGCTTTTGCTAAACAGATGAAAGCAAGGATCCCGGAGGAGTTCCGCTGCGCAGCCTGCAAGGCCGTGATCTTCCAAGTGCAGACAAGGTTGGAACCTTTCTCTCAAATTAGCATCAGTGATTTTCGTCCAAAAAAACATCATCCTTCTGGAGGTGTTGCTGCATATGGCTGTGTACAAAGAGACTACTCTATTGCTGCGAGTTCAGTCCTGAAGTTGCTCTTCGCCGAGGACGGGCTGAATTTGAAAGACCCGGCCAAGCTGGAGAAACCTGCCCGTGCCTGATAATTTTCATCACTGTTCCACCGTTGCCCTGAACGGACAGGCCACGAAAACATGTGCTTTACAACAGCGCATGATCAGGCACGCCGTGAACAAGCAGTGCGTGTTGCCGAGATGCTGGAAGAAGCTGCCTGGTCATTAAGTGTTGCCTCGGATGTCAAGCAAAGATCATGGAGAGTGCATTGGCTTTGAATGTGTCGAACGGCCCAAGATGAGCCAAGGCTTGCAGCGACGACATGTACAAAGACTATGGAAGCCTGATTGAGCTTTAGTACTTTGCGTTATGAAGTACTTGAGTACTTCATTGGCCAGCACAATGTGGGGGTGGTGGGATACGAGGGGGCTATGGAAAGAGCTGACGTGGAGCCATAAGGTATCAAAGAGCCAGCTCAAGGAGGAGGTCTCGCGGATGATCTCGGAAGCCTACTGTGTCCAAATGATCTTTCATTAGGTCACAACTGATGCAAAGCTGCATGGGGCGCATTTGCACTCGCCAGGGAAGATCCTCAGTGGGCCTGGCATCGACACGAACGATGTTCTCACCTCATCGGTTCACACTGCTGCTGTGCTGTTGGATGCAGGGGTTTTACCTAGGCCGGTGTCCTGCAGGGCGGCGGCAAGTGGCCAAAGCGCATGGGAGGCCTTTGTCGAAGCTTGGTGGAGGACCCGCCCTCGTTCTCATAGTTTCTCACAAGAAGCGCCCGAAGGTTTCGCGGCGAACCACTCAGCCCACAAATGCACGGTGCAAACCAGGACCAGGACTTGTCCACGCGCTGGCCGGAAGGCCATTTAGAGAGGCAGGAAGCGATGGACTACTGTGCAAGTACTGTGTAACCTGTTCCTTCCCGTGCCGGCCCAGGTATTGTGACAGAGACTGTTTAGCGAAGGACGTCACAAAGCCTACCAGGAAGCCATCCAAAAGGATGCCTCTTGAGAATGCGTGCAAGAGACAAGCCCGCAAGAAATGCATACGAGCTGCATCAAAAAGCTGCCGTCTCCTTCTCCAGGAAACACGAGAGCGCTCCCGTGAAGACGGCGACAGGCAGGGCGAAGGGCGCCAGCGAGGCGAAGCCCAGCGGCCTGGAGGAGCTGCCGCCGCCTCCGCACCAGCACAAGGCACGAGAGCAAAACTCGCCACAACCCGGGGGGGCAGGGGAAGTTCCTTGCCGCTCGCGCATCCTCACGCTGTCTGGCGCTTCTTGCGCGTGCTTCTTGCCAGGTGCTCACGGCTGAGATGCTTGGCACAGTACTTGCTCGCCCTACCCGCTTGGCAATCGTGGGATAGACAGAGCCAGCTCCAACAACCGCACCGTGCAAAGGAACATCTCAGACGTCATCTCGCAGGGCAACTTTCACAAGTTCGCTGGCTGCTTAGCGACCAGGCGTGCTGAATGAATGGACATCCATGTGGCTTGCTGTCTCACTTCAAGGTCCTGGTGCTGTTCTTCGACGCTTCCCATCGCAGCGCACATGCGGTTGCCATATGGGAATACGCGGCACGTCAGCCAGCTCAAAAAGCTGGGGTTCCCCCGAAGTCGTCAGCTACCTGTAGCAGAAGCGTGCCCCCAAGTTTCTCTTCAAGGTTGCCGCATGAGTTTGCTCAGGCATGCTGAAGCAACTCGGCTGCCGAGCATCGAGCGTGCAGCAACCTTCGATGACGAGTCACAAGTCGGTCTGGCTGTAAGGAAAGCGAAAAAGAAGGCAGATCTGAGAACGCATCGCGATCTGTCCTTGTACAGATTCAGACGCACTTTGCGGCATGCCACATGCCCATCTGCGCAGGATCTTCGAAAAGCTGTCCTCGCCAGGTACGACTCTTCAAGCGGAAGCCCGGCTATGAGGGTGTTTCTGGGCATTCATGCGATTGCAAAGTGCCCAGTCTCAGGAGACACCTGGGGCTACAAGTTCCAGGGGCCTTTGCCCAGAGGTTTGCTCTATCGGCGACTGGCTTGCAATATCTTGCAATCTACTTGCCGTACTGCATCGCTTGGCCTGATGTAGATGTTCTCCGCTGGCCGCCCATCTTAAGGAAGGGGTACCGCAACCCGAAGAAGTTCGACGGCAAGCTAGCGGCTGGGCAGAACACCCTTCGTGAGTTCGGCAGGTTCTGCTTGCAAAACCTTCCTGCTTGGCATCTGCTCTCCACAACCCACAGAGAACCCTTGCAGATGCTTACGAATTCAACCCTGACTTGGTGGTTGCATGAGCCCTGAACGCTTGTTGCAGTTGCGCACACGTTCCAGAGGATGGGCCGCAAGACCTCGTCGCCGCTTTGACTGCACACCAGCCAACATCCGGTTCTTTGCACAGAGTTTCTGTTGAAGGATTGGTTGAAGGAGCAGTCTGCCAACTACATGAAGGCCGGCAGTGACTTCATGTTCAATACCTGCTCCATCTGCTGTACTCGGTGCACCTACTGCATGCGAGGACGATCCTGAGGCATTTCCGCGCCTCAGCGACAGCGAACTCTGATGCAATGCGGGAAACTGTCCAAAGTGACAGATGGCAAATCTTGTCAGTACCTCGCGGACCGGTCCCTACAGTCCTGGCCAGTTCATCAGCAGGCTTGGCGCAAAAAGCTTCCGAACCAAACAACCGGTAGCAAGTCGGTCCCCCTTGCCGGGGCCCCTTGTCGGCTTCATGGCTAAGGTTGGAGCTGCAAGCAGGCGGCAGGCTGGAGCATCTTGGGCAACTTGGCTCGACAGGAGGGTTTGGCTTGGCGGTTGTTGCGTTTTGTGATTAAGTCGCACGAGTGCAGCATGCATCAGCATGCATCAGCAGCGCCGCTCGTTGTGCTCTCTGCAATCTAGTTAGAATTGTTAAGCAGCTGGCAGCTGGCAACTCCCGTCGACATGCACGAAGCAGGAAGCAAGCAACTGAAGAACATGTCATTTGGGGTCACATCTCACAGCCCAAGAGCAAGTCCACAGATCAGCGAGGGCAATAATCAGTCGAGACCCAGTGGTCACGGCGGTCTGAATTTTGTGTGCCAGCGGAAAGTCGTTGTGATGAGTGGTTGTGTTGTGTTTTTCACCTTCTTTGGCAGGACTTCCCTTTGCGGATAGAGCAGCTATAGCTGTGACAAGTCTGAGATTGCACGCAGACAGGCCGAGTGGATCCGTTGCGGCATGTTACAACCGGAAACGCTCAGGATCACTTGTTGACACAAGCTGCACTCATGACTGATTGCACTACGAGACTGAGGGCCGAGACCCTGGCACAAGCCAAGCGGCTGGTGAAGCTGTTCTGGCGGGCAGGCAGCGTGTCTGAGCCCCGTGCACGGAGGATTGGGGAGACATGTCGTACCTTTTTCAGCCCCTGTGGCGGCGAAGACAGTTGCTACCAGTATCAGCTGCTGTTGCTTAAGGTCTTGTCCAAGGCAGCACTTGGCCCTGCAAGTGAGGCTAGCCAGCCGGAAGCCCAGGATGCTTCGAGGTGTGGATTCAGTGCGGATGGTGCATGCCGGTGAATGATCACCAGGGTCGCAAGAATCCATGTTTGCAGTGAGATGCGGTGAGGCTTTGACTATGTGCAATGTTCGCGGCTGCACTGGGATGACGTCCCTCTTCGCTTGGCCAAGCCCTTAGCTATTTCAATTGCTCCTCCTGTACTATTCTTGTGGGAGACAGATAGATGGTCAAACTGGCTCAACGAAGGTGAGCTCTGATGAACTAACTTATCACGTCATATCACGTCATGAACTTGCTTGAGCCGAAACTTGTCTCAGCAAGTCGTCTTAATATCATAAAGCCCAGACGTCAAATATCGTTGTTGGAGATGCTACATCCTGGGCCCAATGGACATCCCTTTGGATGCGCTGCAGAGCCAGATTCCCAGTGTGGGCGTGACCTACGACGCATCTTTGAGGCAGCGACTGGAGGAGCTGGAAAGCGCTGTGGGAAGGCCTCGCAACTTCAGAACTATCAGTTATGGCTCAATAATCTTGACGTATCTGGAGTATACATTGAAGTGGAGCATCTTGGCATGCCTCCTCCCATTCGCATGCGCAGATTATTTGCGCACAACAAATGTCCTTGCACCCCCCCCCCCCCCGCCCACCCGGAACTTCCCATAGCACCCCTCCCTCAAAAGGCTAGATGCGCGAAGCTGCGTCCGTGCCACAGAAGGATTAGAAGAGTCTGATGGAGAAGCTGGGATCTACGAGCGATGTGTGCGTGGGCTCCCGCAGTTTGGGAGCCTGGACGCCGAAGTCTCAGCCTGCCCGGTATGCTCACATGGCCCGCATGGCACACAGGGCAGGCCCGTCCTCGCAAACGTTCCAAGAAATCCGGCTTTGCCTGGACACATTCAGCAGGAGGTAGACTGGCGACGTCAGCATACAGAACTGCTGCACCAGCAGATCAGCATGCTGGAACGTGAGAATGCTATGTGGGAGAAGAAATTGAAGATTATGGAAAGTCGAAGCCCCGGCACTTCACCTAAGAACAAGATTGTCCAACTTTTCCCGAAGGAGAGACAAACACGGGAGGTTGAGCAAGACATGCAAGGTCCTGTCCACCCTGAAGGGCACGCTTTTGCCATGCTGGCCTATGAGCCTGAGATTGCGACATTGTTGGGGGCTCCTGGAAGTGCGCGCGAGGTGTTCGAGAAGATGAGACACCCTCGTGCGTTGCAGCCTCTCCAGCCCAAGCCGCCAAAATCACTGACACCTCAGTTAGAGGTGAGAACCAGTTCGACGCATTCGGCGGGAGAAGCGGATTTGGCTGCAAAAGCGGCTGAGGCTGAGCGACTCCAGGCGGAGCAGCGCGAGAGCCTGGCAAGGCGGGCGGAGTTGAAGCGGGGGCTGCAGGATGAACTACAGCAGATGCAGCTCTTGGAGGGCGAGCGGCGAAAGCGGCGAGAGCAAAAGAGGGCAGAGCTAGATGATGAGCTGCAGCAACAACTTCGGCAGGAGAAAAAGGATTGGCAAATTCGTCAGGCCAGGCAAGAGCTCGAGAGGAAGGAGCGGAAGCAGCGGCACGAGGCAGCGCACCAGGAGCGCAACATAGCGTGCACCTGTGAAATCCCGTGAACGCGCTTGAGACTTTAGCGTCAGTAGTTGGCATCATGGCATCATGTTGCATCTTTTGGTGCTGTCGTATAATGTATCTGCAGTGTATTGCAGTGTGACATGTTCTGTGCTCCTTCTTCTCCCTCGCTCCCTTTCAAAGCTGGCCCCTCCAACAGACCTCCAACCGACCCTTTGCTTTGCATGGCGCCATCTTCTTTTGTCAGGAGCTCCTGCTTGTGGAGTTGGAGAGGCTCCGAGACAGGATCTGTCTGAAGCAGCTTAATGCAGCCCAAGACCATGCACAACCGCTACAGCCAACGGAAGAAGCCCGACTGGAGGAGCTGCTGCAAGCAAAGCTTGCGATGCTCACAGATGTTACCTGGGAGCTGCACGTGCCAGAGTCCGATGAAGGGCTTCTGACACTGAAGCACTTCGATTGGAACGAGTGGCTGTCCTCTGTAAAGGTATTTCTCGAGCTTACTCCTCAAGTCCTTGGAGAGCTCGAAGCAGCTTTGCCGGATAGTGGCAAGTCTCTATCACTCCTCGACGTCGAGGTGGCTAGCAAGGATGCGAGCCTGGCTGGCCAGGTGCGGTCTGGCCTGCGGCAGTGGATGCGTGCAGAAGGAGATCGACAGGCGAATGTTGCATTTCGATGTGCTGGTCTGCTGTTTGGCTTTTACAGTCTTACACTAATCATTAGACATGACCATGTGTAGAGTATATCTGCGAAACTTATCGATACATAAATGCACAATGACAAGACAATGCCTCCCGGCCGACAGGCGCAAAAGCTGCAGCTGACAGTGGATTCATGGGTGCTCTTCTATGGAGACCTGCCCCTCAGAGGAGTTTTATACTGTACGCATACATGTGAGTACATGCATTTTTTTTGGAGGGGGGGGGGGGCTTCGGTGTGTTCTGAAGGTTTAGGATCTCAAGTGGTCACCATTGTGGAAGCAAAAGCGTGAAGCCAAGGCTTAATGGTCGGAGCCGTGACAAGGAAGCAGATGTCCTTGCCCTGGAGAAGGCCTTCATGGCTATTGCGATGACTGCAGGCGATGGTGGAAGCGGCGGATGCGCCCTGCCATTGTTTGGGATCCGTGAGGCCTTGGCGAGCTCATCTATGCCCAAGCTGCAGAAGCAGATGTTAAGCAGATGGCTAGACAGCATGATCAAAGAACACGGAGAGGCCTTACAGGCCCCCAAAGTTTCTCGGATGGCTAGAACTGTGCCCCCAGAAGAAGAGTCCATCGCCCAATCCGGACGGGACCATCGATCTGGTAAATCTTCATCTGCCGACTTAGCGGACCGGGGCAAAGACAAAGATAACATTGGACAACCGGTGCAAGCAGCCACAACCAAAGTCCAAACAGAGTATCCGGAGATGGAAGTCGCATCAGCACCTGCGCCAGCTGCATCCGAGTCTGCGCCAGCAAGCCAACCGGAAGTGCTCACGCGGGTACGCTCGCACGCAGCCGAAGAGAAAGGGGATCAACCGGCACAGGACAAGCTGCCAAATACCGCCGAAAAGACGTACGTGGCAAATCTGCTGGCCCGGACGCAAAATGATGCAGCTGACAGGCCGCAGAGCAAGTTGGAAGCTGAGGACTCTGCCTCAGCTCGGGCAAAGCACTCTGAGCCTGACAAGCACGGCATCTCAACGACATTGCAAGCACTCCATGCCAAGAGTGGAGCAGATGCAGGCACGCCACACAGCGAGGCGGACGAGTGCCGTGAGAAGCCGGAGAAAATTGCGACAGATGCCAAGCAAGCTCCACATGCATCTGGTCGAGGATCGCGGGCATCCTCCCTCAGCATGAAGCCAGAGCAGCCTCCCTCGGATTCCGTACCATCGCAAGCTATTGCCAAGCGAAAATCGCTTCAGGAGAGTGCCGAGACCCTTTCCCACCCTCGTGAAGCAGCCGTGAAGTCTGATGAGGCGACAGGTCAAGCTGATGACCCCCAGCTCCCAGCTGCCGAAGCTCCACCTGAAAGTGATCAGAAGGTGAACGTGGCAGAGGAGGAGGAAGATGATAGCTTCGTGAAAGAGCAGTGGCTGGACTGGTTCTTAAGTGCCGAGCTCTCAGCGGAGGAAGAGGAGCTGCTGCGCGCAGCTTTCTGCTCCTTGAGCTCAAGCCTCCCACTCAGCACTGAGGCAGTCCGCGGAGCCTTAAAAGCACACGAGAAGCAAGCTACTTCAGCAGAGAAAGAGCAGTTGCAGGAGTGGTCCCAATGGGTCCTGGAGATGAACGATGACTAGGTGACTAGGTAGGTGACGGGGTGGCACTCGCGGAGCTGCTCGCAGAATGCGAGTTCAGCCAGGCTTAGAGATGAAAAAAAAAACACCCGGCGCGTGCTGACATTAATTACTGCAGAGAGAGCTCTGGACCCGTTGCGTCCGGCGCTGGAGTGTTGTAATGTAATTATAGGACACTGCGCTTCATAATAATTGATATGCGTGCGAAATTCAAATTTCTAATGGTTCATAGTCCGCATGATAGTTTGTCTGTGGATTGTTGCATACGCACATGTTGCTCCAGAAGGTGACAAGCAAATCTCGTCCCTGACTCTGATTGGGGTAAGTGGGTGGATGCTGCGTAAAAGTGGTTTCGAGCTCAAACTTCTGAGGTTTGCACGTTGGCGGGTGCCCGGCGCTCAGCGCACGACACCTTCCCAGGCCCAGGCATGCCAAGAATTCCCGAATTGGTTTCTTCAACAGGAGCCGAGGCATCTTCTGAGGCCCAAGGTTCAGCATATCTGAGCACATCCGGCACCAATGAATTTTGCATCCCTCCATCGGATGACTCATCTTTCCATGCTGCCAGAGCGAGTGTAGTCCTGTTCAGGAACTGGGCACAGACTTCAGGAACCACATGGTGCAATCCAGGCCCAAGACAGGTGAATTCAGGAACAGCAGGACACAATTCAGGAAGCAGGAGGTCGCAATTCAGGGTTTAGGGTTTAGGGTTTAGGGTTGTGCCACGTCAGGAGCCATTTGTGCCTGAAATTGGCACAGGCAGTTCCGAATCGGGTTCCGGAATCTAGCCTTTTCCTGAACTCTGGGACTTGAATCGGCCACACAGTTCCTGAATTTAGTTCCCGAATTGGACGGTAGCCCTGCTAGAGCCTATACAGCCTGCAGACATGTCGAAACGATGGACCCCGTCGCTATGCGGAAGAGGAGCTGATCCGGAGGACAGGTCGCTCTTATGGGCTCATGCTCAACCCATTCAGCTACTACTGGCGCTTGCTGCAAGACGAACAGTTGGCCTGCGCAAAGGCCCCTTGCACTGGTAACGCTGAGGTGTCTTCGTAGATTTCGAAGAGCTGTCATGTCGGGCAAACAAATCGTTCGGCATGTTTGGCATTAAACTTTGCAGGCCTAGGCTATCCAAAACCATATATGTGTGTGTAGATGTTGTCTTCTGCCATTAATTGCTACACTTCAAGTCCCTATGCTTCTCCAGGTGCACAGACTGGATATCGACTCAGAGAGGCAACATCTGGAAACAACCAACCTCGCGAAGTTTGACCATGCGCTGGTTTTGGCATACAAGCGGTATAGCCTGTTTGGCATGCTGTACGATCATTACTTCGTCACCGATGGGAAGTGGACCATTGAGTTTCGAGGAGATGAAGTTGCTGAGGCCATTGTTCATGTGCACGGACGACATCCCGGATACTACGATGTTGAGCAGGCCTTCACCAATTCAGAGGATGTTCAGAACCGCATGCGAAGGGTCTGCGGGGCTCGTGCATTCTCCTTTTGCTTCCGCAACTGCGAGCATGTTGCTCGCTATATTGCAGAAGGTCGGTGGTTTAGCAGACAGAGTGCCGCCGACGGCATTCTATGGAGCAAATGCTTGTCTAAACTTGCAGGCGAACACCAGCTGAAACTAAACATGTGGCCCTGGGAGTTGGAGCCAGTTCCCGTTCTTTCCTCCAATGGTTGGAAAGGATTTCTGGGCTACAAGGGGCAAGACTGTCATGTGACTCACAACCCTGACGTGTTTACTGTGCTGGCACTTGGAAGCGAAAAAGAAACCTCCAGGCTGATCGAGGCGCTGTTCGAAATGGACGTCTCTCGACCACGTAGCGCAAAGACTGTGCCCTGCAAGCTTGAGGTGACACATGGTCTCGCCGAAATCGGCGGCTGCACACGTGCCGTGCAAGTCATCCAGGTCATTGGCCTTGTTGAAGATTGCGTCGAGAAAGCTAAAGTTCTGACAGCGCATCTTCTGGGCGAGGTGTTGCATGTGGACCGTGTTTTGGTTGCCCTCGAGACTCTGCCACTGACGAATGCCATGTGTGAGCTTCTGAGGATGCTTGGGGTCCGACAGCACACCATGAACTTCACATTTGCTCATTGTAAGCTTACAAACTTCACCGGTGAAGTGGCTGACGGACTGCTGTTGGAGCTGCATCTTCAGCTTGGGGCTGAAGCTCATGCCATCTCAACCCCTTACGTGCGCACACATGGTGAGCACCACCTGAGCTTGGAGTATCTGAATCAAGAGCAACAGCCAAGTCGAATACTGGCAGCGGCGAATGGATTGCCCGAACCCCAAAGCGCTGATATGGTTCATCTCCTTGTCCCGGGCCTTTTCGTGGATCATGCCTCACCGAGTGTGGACGCTGCGAGCAAGCTACTGGATGCAACATTCCTGCCTTGTGCTGACCACTTCTTGTCGCGGGATTGGCGGCTGCAACTTGGGCCTGCTTCTGACGAGTGTCAAATTCAATGACTGCAAGGCCTGTTTGACTGCCCACGAGTTTGCCTTTCACGCGGGCCTTGCGAATTGGAAGCTCGCCGGCCTGCGTGTCAAAGCCACGGCAGACTCCAAGAGGCGCCTTGCATCGTGTTCGATGAGTCGCTGTCTACGCGCTCTTGAAAAAGAGGCAGGTTCGGCATGCCTTAATCTTCAGGCGGTGGGTGATTGCGCATGAGCATTGAATCTCCTGCATGACTAAGCACGGTTTTCTTGAATCTGTCAACAATTCACGCGATGGGTTTCATTCTGAAGGGGGAGGCTGAACATAAGAGCGATGAAAGCTCAGACCTTGAAGGCCGTGGTTTCCGAGCCTAGAGTAGAGCCCATTCAAAAACATATATCTATATATACATATATACATGCATAGACAGAGAGTATGGCGATAAAGTGCACACACAACACGCACGGACACAAACAGGCACACTCAGGCCAACAAAAGCGGACATGAAGCCAATCATGCACCTGCCCATGCCGTTGTCTCGACGGGCCCGGATTGCAAACCCTCGACTCGCGAGAGCATGCCCCTCGGTTCATGCACGGCAGGCCAGAACAGCTTGGCAACAATCCTTTACGTTGCCGGCCTCCTTGGTTGTCACCACACCTCTTTCGTGCAGCGCCGAAGACGCGACGAGTGCACTGATGCCTCCGCTTCTGGTCCTGGCTGCGATACTTTGGGTTACCATGATCAGCAGCATTGGACTGCAGCTCGGCGGCGCTGAGCCTGGAATTGAATCGACGTATTGGTGGATGGGCGAGGGCGGCGAGGGCAAAGGGAGAGCAGACGGCAAGAGCTCAAAGAGCTCACAGAGCTCCAAGAGAAGCGCAAAGAAGCAGAACTCGCGAGTCTCACAAGTGGTCGTGGAGACGCATGCAAGGCCTGTGGACTGACAGCCCTCTGCCTTGCGGAAACACAACTGGAGGTGCAACAAAAATGTGAGCTTTTCCTGTTCATGCCCGCTGACCTCCTCTGTCACTTATGCTACTCCACGCTTTTTTTACTTCATTTCTTCTAGGACAGGCAATGTGTACACCATGTTGTGTGACACCCATGCGGGGCTATTGGTCTCCTCGGTCAAGAGCCCTTCGTTTCTGAGTCGCGCAGTTCGGTGTGAGTTGTCCCTTCCTTGATGGCCTGATGGACTGAGGCTGGAACCCAGGTTCTGCCTGAGAGCAGCGTGCTACTGACTCGAGTTCATCCGTGGCATGTTTTGACACGCTTGCCTGCCGGACCTCCACCATGTGTGCCAGGCTGACCGCACAGCCTTCAGGGCTCTGGAGTCGATGCCGATAGAAAGACTGAGACTTACACAGTGGCGAGTGATGTTCGTGTGCATGACCCCTGCACTAGTCACCGGTGCTTCCTTGAATCAGTTGAGGACAGGGATCGATGTCTACAGAGGCTCTGACACGGGGAAGAAAAGAACAATTCCGATTCAAGCACAAACTGTGATCTGCCATATGCTACTGTAATTTGTAAACCTGCCTCCCTGGAGACCTTTGGCCGAAGCTTTGACAGGACTGGAATAACCGCATCGTTTCATCTTCCGCCCGATCCTGGTTGAGCGGAGGCATCTTTGTGCAACATCTTTGTCTAAGGTGCTGCTTTCGAGTACCGAGTGGACCATTCCAAGAACTTTTCGCACCCGGTGACTCAGGGCTCGATAATGCTTGTTCTCCAACGCATGTCAACATGCCGCTCTGAACATTGAAATCGTGAGCCTTGTTCTGTCAGGGATACTAAACATATGTCAGCGCACCTGAGCAAGAGAGACCTGATAGACAGCCATGGGAAGGGCCAACTTGCGAGATGCGGTGGGTGCCGGACCTTGGGCATGGTGCGCGCTTTGCTGTATCGCCTTGGCAGCTTCACCAATATGTCACCCTCTGGTGCTCGAACAAAGGCTTCTGCTGGTCGCGTGGCCTGCGAGCTGTGCGTGGCAGCTGCGCGAGCGCCGCGGGCGCCGCGAGCGCCGCGAGCTCGCGAGCAAGGCCCAGGAGAGTTTGGAGTGGCCCGCAAAGCTACTTCGGATCATGGCCACGTTAAGTGTCGCCAGCCTCATCCTGAAAGTGTGGCGTAAAGAAGTGGAGGCCACCACTGCAACCTTGCCATGCGCGTCGCTGTTGTCATTGGTTCAGATGACTTTCCCCTCACTGGAGCTACCTTTGGGGGAGTTCATCCCTTGGTGGTCGCTGCTGGTTTTAGCTTTGGTAGCTACCTTTGGGTCCACGGAGATGCGTGCAGATGCCGGGCTTATCCTTGGACGAACTGATGGTGGACCCCTTGTTTGGTCTGCCATCTGCGTGGCAATCTCCACTCTGGCACTGGTGGGCTGGTCTAAACTCTGGGTTCGTGGTAACCACGGCCCCATCCAGGACGCTCTGGCGCCATTGATGTCACCGGCTTCCTTGCTGCCCCTGGCAGTGGTCAACGCCTTTCGGGAGCCTGCGCTTTTGTTGTTTGTACTAGGTTTTGAGTCAGAACAGACATCAGCTAGGCTCGAAAATTGAAAAAGCCTCAACCTTGCTTGCCGGGGTCTATACGAAAATGTAAGAGAGGATGCTTAAGACTTAAGGATACTTTCCAAGCAGACCAGCCCAGGAGGAGCTGCAGTTCCGCATGATGTTTTTGGGAGGGGTGTTGGCTGGCGAGGCCTCCGAGTCGAAAGTGATGACCAGTATCTCGCTCACGCTGCATTCCACCTATTTTGCTTTGCTGCACTATTTGGGAGGCTTCCCTCGTGGCTTAAGCGGCTTTGTGCTGGTTCTAATCTGGAGCCTTTTTCTGGGCATCCTACGAATCTGGAGCGGTGGAATGGCACTGGTATTCTTACTGCATATACAGGCAGATGTCACCATATTCTTGTTGGTTCTCGTGGAGGACAGGCGCCGACAGCACTTAAACCAGGATATGGACTGATGGCACTTACATGGAGCAGTTTGCTCATCCCTCTCTGAAACCGTGTACCATCGTGCACCTCACGGCCTCGTCCTCATGGTGCAGGCTGCCGACAAAAGGCAGCTCTCGTGGATGCAGTTTCGGGAGCGCCGTGTCCATGGCATCGGAACGGTTGCAATGACATCGTTGTTGCATCTCGCACGAGCCTGTAAAAGTTGCGTAGTGCAAACACATGCTAAAGTTCACAACGGATAGTGCAATTACGGGCTGAGCCTTCAACTTCTGGGTTGTGGCATCGCCTTTCAGGTTGGAAGCGGGCCCTCGTGCAGGTGCCCACTGGATGGGTGCGGGGGCCTGGAAAGCTCGTAGACGGCCAGGTGTTGCAGAGCGGCATCAGATGGCAGAGGCCAAGGGGTCGTCAAGTCAAATCTTCAGATCTTCCGTCGTCCGTTCGATCAGATGCAGCACGTAATCATGTTCAGCACAGCTGCAGCGCAGCTTTCGGTTAGCTGTGCTGCCGGCTGCAAACGTGTCTGTGGCGCCCAGGCCGTGCTTCTGAAAGGCAGCACGTGGGGCACGGATGCGAAGGAAGGCCCGGACATGGATCAGCGCCGTTTCCACATGACAGCTTCGACAACTACAGCTCTTGGCAGGCTACAAGCCAACAAGTCCTGGAGCTTTGCATCGCTCACCCGAAGAGGCTCGTCGGGGGGAGGGGGGGGGGGGGGGGGGGGGGGGGGTGTGGGGGGTTGCGGGATGAAAAACAAAACAATCCCGAGGAAAACAAGCATTTTGGCATAATGAGCTCTACGTTTGATCTAGATAAGTTATTCAACTTACCCCATGAGATTCAGCGATCGTGGATCATCCACAGTGTGGCAAGATGAACTTAGTTTGTAACCGATGCCTGTAGCATTGGCGGTTGTGCTCATTTGGTCGCCGTTTCTTTCCCATGAGCCCTGGCATATTCTTGCGTTGCCTGCGTTGCAGATGGCCTTCTGCCTTTCTGGCTGCCTGTACAGACGATGAGTGGCACACGCAGCTTGTGCCCGCACCGCCAGACCTCCCCTCACACCAACGTGTGCTAAAGTGCGCCACATTCGCCGTCCGTGCGCCATCGTGTACCATTAGCGGAATCACATCCGCATGCCTCGATCTGGGTCGAGGCAAACCTCTGGGGGCGCCGCTGCAGCGCGTGCACGGCGCTTTTCAGACTCACCTTGCCGGCAGCATAGTCCTGGTGTAAGCTGCATAGGCCTCCATCGACGTGTCGGGCTTCTCCAATCTCAAAAAGAAAAGCTCAAGGACTTAGCAAGCGGGCAGCGCGAGGAATTGGCGCGTTTGGAAGGCGAGTGCAGCAAGCTTCGGGCCAAGAGAAACATTGCGCAGGCAGATCTAGACCTCCAAAGCTATTCAAGGAGTTGCATGACGGACTTGTCCCTCGCAGAGCTTCAGCACCTCAACGGAAGTACAACTGAAGCCCCTTGAACTTGGGCGCCCTAGGAAGTGGGATGAAGTAGGTAGAGGGATCGATGTGGCAGTACGTTGGCAGACTGAGGCACTTACAGCAGCAGCGAAGGCGACTTGAGGATGAACTGAACTCCTTCCGCGCTGCTCCAGACCGGCTGCGAAGCAGCCGTCAGGCTGATGTGGAGCATGCAGCCGCCAGGGAGGCGTGGCACCAGCACATTGTTGTTGGTTTCCTGTGCATGAGGTCACCTTCGTGAGTGAGTGAGCTTGTGACAGTGTACAAGTAGAGGGCTGAGACTGCATTGCTTCCTGCAATCACCTTTCTTCCCGCCGGTGAGGCATGGTTGACAGAGCAGCGAAAGATCAGACAAGATATGGCGAATGCCTTTGCCCATGCGGCCTCGCTAGAGCAAGAGGTGGAGAAACGGAGAGAGAAGGACACCATGGAACGACTTGCTGGGGCGGAGCGGAGCCGACAGCTGCGCGAGCAGATCGCTGAGCAGCGACAGCTTTGCAGGGCTGCTCAGCATGCCGTGCGAGCAGCGGAGGGCGATTTGGCCACGCTGCAGGCCCAGAGGCGGACTCCGCGCCCGACGCTCGTGTCGGATACTGGGCGTGTGAAAGATCTCAAGGCAAGGGGGTGATTTTCTGCATGCAGGCTAGAAATTGAAACTTTCACCCATTGAGCGAAGTAAGACCGATGAAGCAAATCCAATGTCTTACATATTTTCAGTAACCTCGCGAGTGGCCGTTGGCACAAATCTTGTCGTCAGCACGTTAATGCCACGAACACACTTGGCTTCTTGTTTGCTTGATCTCTGCTTCAGCTGTGATTGATGTCAAAGCCGGCGGCATCTCTCAGTAGGCGGCTGGCGAGACCAAAGACCCGTTTAATTTATCCCGTTGTTCAAAACCTGTTTAAACGACATGATTTCCAATGCCCCCACAAAGTAAATACAGCCCATAGAGAGACAGAGAGAGAGAGAGAGGTACATACATATACGTATTATATACATACAGAAAATGCATATATAAATGTAAATACAAATGTTTAAGTGTGTATATATATATATATATGCGTGTGTGTGTGTGTGTGTGTGTGTGTGTGTTTGTGTGTGTGTGTTTGTGTTTGTGTTTGTGTTTGTGTGTGTTTGTGTTTGTGTGTGTGTGTGTTGGTGTGTGTGTGTGTGTGTGTGATCCGGGTTCCCGGGGCCCACTCCCCCCCCCCCCCCCCAAACACCCATAACTCGCCGACTCGCCATCCTCGAATTGTTGTCACTGTTTTTGGAGGGTCCCACCTGCTTCGCGTTTCAAAAAACTGACGACGGCATGAGGATAGGGCCTCTTGAATGGAGTCCTACATCTTGCACGAAAGCCCTAAACCCTCAAAATCCCGCTATGCGGGCGCCATTTCAAAAGCGAATAGAGCACCTCGAAAAAAAGGAGGGGCGGAGGGGCGGGGGCTAACATACCCAAATAACCCACCACCACACCTTTTATATATGCACACACTTCAGAAGCAGACCCCCGAAAACATGTCTGTAGCGGTAGCGGATCCTGAAATATCCTGAAGCAGCCCGAGCATATGAAAAAAACCAGAAACAAAACGGGTGGAACATGTCCAAGTCCCGAACTATAGAGGCAGAGATGGCCGCTTTGGCGGACGAGCGGCATGAAGGAGCCGAGGCTCTGCAGATTGCCAGCGAGGAGCTGGAGAAGCTGAGGTGTGAGCTTGCAGCCATCTCTGCAGACAATGCTCAGCTGCGTTCGGGTCTTCAGGATGTGATGCGTGGACTGGAGCAGATTCAACATGCGTAAGCCACCTACTTGCACGCTCTGAGACTCTGTGCCTTGTCGACCTAATTGGTCCACGTGGCCATCATGGCCAGGACTTTAGCAAATTCATGCAAAGGGTCGTTAGACCACGTTCAACCCATCTTGCCTCCAAAGTTGCGGCGTTGACCTCGGACGCCATGGACCATCTGCCTTGGCCTGCAAGGCAAAACAAAGTGGCGGCTCAATGCAAAGATCCTTACCTGACACGGGCAGCCTAAAGCGGTAGCGACGATGTACAACGGCTTGATACTGTATGCTGTTCTCTGTCCTGGAGAACCTGGAAAGCGACATGCATGCAAAGTTTGTCAGCGAATGACCTGCTGCCGCCACCTAACCCGGCCCCGCCTCGAGCCAACAGGTATCACGGTCACCCTATATTTTCTATACAGTAAACACGACTGCTATCTCGTGCGCATGGCACGATGAGGAGGTTGTGCTCACAAGACACCCACGTGGCAAAGGGAGTGACTGGGCCAAGGTTCGTCGTCCTGGCGCTTCCGAATACCCCTCGATGAGTAAGTGAGGAGCGACCGGGTAGTTGGTAGAGATGCCTTAGGCGCCATCCCTCCTGCCTTCTCGGGGGGCTCCGATACGTCATTGCCCCCTCCGGTTGGAGTTCAGGCTGGCCGCCACCCCCGGGTTGCGAAAACGTCATCACCCGAGGCAAAAAGGGAAAAAGGGTCAAAAGCAGGTGCCGCCGACCGACCATGGCTAACATTCAGCCATCCCCCGCACCAGGCACCTCTTGCTTGGTGAATACCCCTCGATTTATCTTGCCGTCTTGCATCCCCAGGAAGAGAGAACAAAGGTCATCTCGCACCGCCGTATACTGCCGCGCACCGACCGCCTTAGAACTTCTCCGCATTCTTGCTTCGACCAAATTTGCAGCAGAGAGCGACGGGAAGCGGCCCAAAGACCACCGCGCGGAGCATCCAGGGCTTTCATGTGCTGTAGGTTGTTCGCATCCCTTGCCCCAACGAGCCCCCTCCATGCGCTCCAAACCTGCGTTCACTGGAAATGAAGTAATCAGTCCTGGAACCCATGCTCACTGCGCCGACTTTAAAACAGGGTTGTTCCCGCAGGAGCTGCAGAATTTCATTTTTGGGAGGTCTGATTCTTGCATGATTTGGCATGGATTTGAACACGTTGCCCGGTGCCCACCGTCCTCCCATGTCGCCATTCTAGCAAAAAAGCAGCGACGCTTACGTAAGCGGGTGGCTATAGGCAGCTGCCTTGGAGAGCCCTTGCTTGCAATGAAGAAAGTTGGAATGACAGAACGCTTCGAGTATATGCTGAATTTTGGTAGGCATGGGTGGTTTCATGTGCTGTGCAAGGCCTCTCAAAGAGCTGGGTCCTCAATGTGCTTTGCCGCTGACGATGACTTCATGCAGTGCAGATGTTAGTGCCTGAACGGCCCGTGCCAAAGTAGGCGCATGTGCACAAGGTCTGCTGCCTGCGGAAGACACACCCTCCTCGCCTGAATTCTTGCACAGCCAAAAAAAGGGCCCATTTAGGGGTATTCTTGTCGTGTTGGAGTTTCAAAATTGGGCCGGTCCAGGTGCTGCTCCAAGTTGACTTTGCAGACTCCGTGGCTGGAAGTGGCCAGTGAGCCTTGACACGACTTTTTCATCTGTGGCAGAAGGTCGGTCGGGCACATGCTCCGGATCGGGCTCAACAGACTGATGAAGAAACGATAACTCGGGCATGGTTCATGACTCGTAGAAGCGTGTTATCCCCGCATGCACTGACTGCCAGACCTCTCAGCGACATGCGCATTTCGCCCGCTAAGCCAGCTGGCGCTCGTCGGTTGCTCCGCAGTGCACATGTACAGAATCCCAATTTTCGTGCTCCTTCCTAACCCGGGACAGAGACGTGGGGATTTGCAGGATCAAGCTCCGACTGCAGGTATTGTAGCGGTACTGGCTGTGCCCAGCTCGTCGTGCGTGGTTTGCAAGTCAAAGTGCCTTCAACGCGAGCTTGCTTCACCCAGCTGCAAGTTGACTTGTGAAATCTTGCTAGCAAACCGATCCCCCTCGGGGATGGCACGGCAGAGAGAGAGAGAGAGGAGAAACCGATGCCCCGATGTGCCGTGATGAGATCTTCAAAATGTGGCAACACGTGATGGCTCCGGCCGAGGACATCCCAAGCAACGAAGCTGAAGCCGGCAGTCATCGCGGCAGTGTAGTCTGACTGAAGGAGAAAATAGTGTGTTTACAGTGTCTGAACGGCAGTGCTAGCTTACAATGCTTCTCATGGAAGCCATGGCGTGTGCCTCTCTCCAGCCGCAGACGGCAACATGGAGACATCCTTTCTTGCAGCACTTCGCTGCACGCCCACATTCGACCAAGCCACCCAAGCCACGGCAGTGGACGGGTGCTCCAGCAAGGGCCGCTGCGGCACTGGCTGCCATAGCAGTGGCAAGGAGACGGGATGGCCGGATCGCTTTGGCTGCCGAGGGGCCCATGGCAGGGGTGGGCGCGCCGCCACCTGCACAGCGCCCCGCGCTACCCAGCACCCTCAGCTCAAAGACGCTGCAAGTGCCTGACTTCAGCTCGTGCACGGATACTCTCCGCGAGGCGGGGTGGAACTTGCAGTTAGTAACGCAGTAGGAGAATGTCGGAGATGATGGGCTGCGGAGTTGACGACTGTGTGCATGCAACGTAAGGTCCGGAGTGCATGGCAGAGGAACTATACTCACTGAACCCCAAAGGGTACAAGGGATCATGCCTGTCATCAGTGTCGCTAAGCAAATGAACTAAGAAGTGTAACTAAAAAAGAGGCAACAAATGACTGCTCTCACAACTGCAGCCATTTACAGACCCTAATTCTGGGTCGGTGCTGGCTCAACTACCTTAGATGCCAACATGTTTGACGCACTTTTGCGCTGAATGGCGCCGTGCTCGCCGGGTTTTGCAGGTTCATAACCTGGACTTGGAGACAAAGCGCGAGCTTTATTCAGTTCTGACATCTGACCTGGTCGTCTCATGCGATGGGCCACTAGCCGAAAGGTATGGTGTTGGATTCTGGCAGGCCGATTTTGATGAGGCTGCAGGTGTCCGAATATGGCTATCGCAGACCGGGACCTTCGTGGCAGGATCCACTGATGAGGTCGACACGAACGACGGAGACACACAGATTGAGGACAGCCTCAGCCTTGTCAGCCGCTCTGTCAACTTGCGAAGCAAGTCCAGCGCCATCAGTCTTTTGAAGGGCATGGCAGTCAGACCAACTCCGAAGAAAGGTGACGACCAAGCATCGGTGTTTTCCTGGAACTTGTCGCCCATGGCCGGCGGCAAGAGCACAAGCAACGAGCATCATCTCCTTTTCCGCAATCCTGAGCATCCCATGTCGCAGTTCCCCAACGAGGCAAACAAAGAGGAGTTTGTGACACTTATGAAGAAGAGCCTCATGGCTGAAAGCCTCTTTTCCGAAGGTGTTGGGCCACACCACCGGAACGAGGAACAAGCGATCGCAACCACCCAGGACGCGGAGGACTTGTTTGAGGCCCTTCTCATCCACCAGCACCTGGATCCTCGTGGCGGTTTTCACGTTTGAAGGTCAACTTAAGGCGATATACCTCTACAGCGTTTCTAGAAGTCGTTGAAGGTTTGGTTTAGGGAGTGTTGGGTTTTTTGGGTTTTGGGCGACCTAGGCACATCTGCCGACTGACCTCAGGGGCGGTGCTGCAACTGGGCCGTGTGATGGATGAGCTCGTGAAGCGATGGAGCATTCTGACAAAGTTTCGGCAGCTTATCGAGAGAGATACCGCAACAATTGGTACATTTATCCAGACCTACTTCTTAACCCCCAGGGTGAAGTATATTGATTCGAACGAGATTTATCATTTTTTCCGTGGCGGACCGGGCCTACGTGATGTGACCGTCGAAGAGGCTCCCCAACGGCAGTTATGTTTGTGCGGTTACGGGGAGCGCCGTAGTAGCAGCAGGCTAGCATGACGCAGCGCAAGCGGCGTTCAGTCGCAGTCGCCAGGTGCTTTCTTCCCTCGACGAAGATGGAGACGGGAAGGTTGACCTGCAGGCATGTCACAGAGTCGTATGGCACATGAACGAATGCCGGTCCCGAGCTGTCCCGAGCTTGCCTTGCCATCATATGCCCCCGCCTTTTCTCTCCGGGGCCAGGAGTGTCAAAGACAGCTCTCTCTCGTCGCGCCACCTCGACCAAGCCTGTTGGAGCTAGTCTCTCGGCCGTGAAACCCTGGAAAGTGTGGAGGGAACCGACACTGTGACTTCAGAAACTGAAGCAAATCATTGTTTGGCAGCCTCGTAGATGCATCTCACATGCTGTCATGTTTGATTGCCCCTAACAGAAATAGCCGTGTCTGTAAGATCAAAGGGCATCCAGGTTCATAGAGCGCACAAGAGCACGCATGAAACCCGACGGCTTCTGCAGAAACAGGCCCCATGATTTCTTGCAGGATCCGCTAGCTTCAGGCTTACTGGAACCCGACGCCTTGTCACTTTTGGGTAGGGGGAGCTTTGAGAGGCTTGAGGCCTTCGAGCCTCTCCGTTGCTTCCAGCTAACTTGTGAACTAAAGGAGGCACCCGTGTTGTCCGAAACAGCTGTCGCTGAGTCCTCGTAATGGCCTATCGCTACGTCGTATCCCAACACCTGCCAGCATGAAACTCTGCAGGATTTGGAGGCAATGTACTGTAGCTTAGGTATATAAGGGACTATATAGGTACTATACAGGGACTATTTAAGGTATACGTGAGGGATATACAGGGGAGTAAGATTAAGGGTTCCAGAGTTCAGCTTGTGTTGGGAGGGCAGCCAGTTGGAGCTGAAGCACGGCCTGGGCCGCAGCGCCATCAGCAGCGGACTCAAGGAGCCGGCCGCTCTGTTCGAACACCTCTGTGCCTCTCTTGCATGCTGGTTTGGGGCTTTTGGGGCTTTCGGGGGTTTAGGGTTTAGGGCTTGGGGCTTAGGGCTTAGAAGGCTTAAGTATAAGGCTTGAAGGCGACGGCCGCATCCTCCGGAGCCAGGTACTGTGGAGAAGGTCAGCCCTCCACCAGAGGATGTTGCGCGCCTCTACCGCGCGATCAATAGCTCCCGGGCGAACCGGGAGATTGGCAGCTTGACGGGAAGAGAATGAAGGCAAATAGTTTTGCAGGTTCCAATGATGGCTGATCTAGATCCGAGGCACCGAAAGCCTGTCCCAACTGCTGCGTCAGCCGCCGCTGGATATTCAGTGGGGTGTGGAGGTGCACACCATCCCGGCCTTGTACGATGCCTTAGCATGCCGAATGCGCTTCGGCTTGGAGTTTGTATGCTCGCCTTCTGAACGGGTCGGGCAACATCCCCGGGAATGGGAACTGAACAAAGCTTCGGGTTGTAGCAAGTGGCACAAGAAGTCTCTCTACATACAACATCCTACGGTAAACCTTCGAGATCCCGCCCTTCAAGCAATAAGCCGTTAAGCAACCATTTCCAACAACTTTCTGAGTTCTCGGGCGTGTAGCATTCTACGGGACTTTACATTAGTCTGTGGGTCATTTTCTGAAGATCAGGTTGACAGTCGAACGAAGCCGCCAGAAGGATGCCGCCGTTCTCCCTGCGGAGGCACATCCTCCGATGTTGTGGTCCTTGTGATTATAGAGAGGTAGCCACATAGAGACATAGAGATATACAGAACTTAGCAGCTGTATGGAGTCTCTCCGCCTCAGGCGTTTGTCCAAGGCGAAGTCCCTGAAGTGCCGGAGCTGGAGAGGCGCTTTGCCCACCTTTGGGACATGTACGGCAGTTCCCTCGTTGGCTTCCCTGCTGCACATTGGGACTTGAGCACTGCGCAGCATGGGTGGGCATAGGTCGGTCTTGAGACCCACATCTGCACAACGCGCATGGAACTACTCATGACTCTGCAACCTGACCGCCCCCTGGTGTTTCCAAGGAAGTGTCTCCACGCAGGCCGCAGCTAAGTTTCGAGAGCGTTGCTTCTCCATGTATCAGCTCCTTGGCCAATCGCTTGGAGCACAGGGCCACAGAGTCGGAAGTCCATGTCTCCTCTCCCTACATCCCCTTCTGTCCTGGTTTTCAAAGGCGCCACTCCCCAGAAACCCCTGAGCTCTAGGAGGGAGGTTGGTAAATTTACTGTCAGGGCACGCGGCAAGAAATTCGCGGAGGAGTCGCGAGATCCTAAGTAGCCCAGCAAGCTTGTCTCTATAGAGGCCCCCCTTTAGCAAAAAGCGGGTCCAAGTCTATGGGTGTGTTCGTTTTTTGGGGGCTCAGGTTTGAGAGGGGCATGCAGCAGCACACCTGCAAAACATGCCCCCGAAAGATACCCGCGAAACATACCCCCGAAATTGCAAAGTAGATCATGATTCATGCTGCGAAAGATGCCCCGAAGCATACCCACGAAACAGACCCGGATCCCGACACCTGTCGCCCACCCCCCCCCAATTCTCAAACAAACCCTTATGATGATGGAAGGTATACCATTCCGGAACCGGTTTCGTTTGGTATCCGTGCCAGGCTACATGCAGATCAGATCGCAATTTGGAGAGCCAACCACAGTGGTGAGCTACGACGGGGTCAAATGGCACCCTGGCTGGTCTAAATCCAAACTCCAAACCCCGAACCCTCCGACTCAGGTCCCCAGTCGTGTCAGGGCTCATGGGGAGCACACTTGGTGCATACCACATCATACCAGTCAGTAGGTTGTACAATGTAGTACAGAAAGTCTCGAGTTTCTCTCACGAGGTGAGTGTGCACAAGTCGCTCTTCCCAAGCATCGGAGACGTCGTTACCACGGCCTCATGCCGTCTCGTGGCTGGGCAGACCTGCGTTGTGCGATATCGGCTTCAAGGTCCATGTAGCTACTATGGACCTGGCCATACTGTCCTCAAGGATGAGAGGGAGCCTGTGCCATGGCCGGTACCTCGCAAAGTCTTGGGTGACACCCCCTTCATCGCCTTGGTTCCGCCTGGCCTCAGCTACTGCGCGGCCGGAGGGGGTGGCTTCTATCTAGGCCACCAGGCCTTCAACAACGTGGATCCAAACTTGCGCGCCGACTTGCCTAAGAGCTCGGATGGTCAGCCTCAGATGTTGGGCCACGTCGAGATGTCCATGCCATCTTGCAGCCGCTCACAGCGTGGTAGTGGGAAGATCCCGAAGAGCCAAGTTTTTGAACTGCGCCTCTTCTGTTCTTCCAAGCAGCGTATCATTGGATGCATTGGCGAGCCTGTGCGCATGACCGTTTGGAACCAAATCCCGCCGCCACCACTTGAGTCCTTGCAGCTGCGATGTGAAGGCCGCAACGTGACCTTGCGATGGAACGCTTTGGAATTCCTTGACTTGCCAAAGGAAGCTCAAGCCGACCATGTGAGAGTCCTGGTCAAGACCTCTGCCTCTGAGGAAACAGTTGTTCTAAAACCAGAGGTCACAGAGCATGAGCTTCATGACCTGATACCAGACACTGAGTATGAGTTCCGGGTTCGGGCGGAGAACGTAGCCGGAAGCAGCAGGGACTGTGTGGCGCATTGCCGCATCAATGCTTACTGCCCCGCACCTGCAAGCTTGACCTGCGCATCCATCGGGACGGCCCAGGTGGATCTGGAGT